AGAGCCGGTCTGGACGCAGAGGCTAGAGGAAAAATCCTCTGCCCCCGTCAGGGATCGAACCCCGGTCGTCCAGCCCGTAGCCGATGTTCCCACACCTTTCAAGCCTTCGATGCTGGTCTTTTAGAACAACGCTTTAAATAGGCCACAACAACTTCTTCACGTATTATTCCAGATTATCATTCCTCGTGTTCATTAGTTCAGAATACACATACAAAGTGAACAAAAACAATCACATACTCCTCTAAAGCATTTAAATAATATTTTAAGAACTCAGTCCGTACCGCGAAGAAAACACAACTCTTCACCATTACAAAGATCAACTGGTTAACGCTGTTTAAGGAAATAATCGCTGTTTATGGTGAGAATCATACGAAACACATAAATACAAAATGAAGAGTTACTGGTTGTTAAAGCAGGTGGTACATATAGTTACCGCTGTGTTATAGTGAGTTAAACGGTACACTCATCGGCTGTGAAAGAGAGGTTATAGGATACTCCACCAAAAGGCAAGATAAAAAGAGTGTTTAGTGTATATCAGTATCACGAAAAGCAGTCGCTTCGAAAGTCAGAAGTAGCTTTTCATGTAAAGTTTCAGACTTCGTACCCCAGATAAGGGATTTCACTTTCACTGAAACATTTTTCCTCAAAGTGCTTTCACATTTCGCAACCAGACAGCTTCGTTTGTGATTTTCCGACAGAACATGTGCACGCTGATATCAGACAAATTGAAGTCACTTGCGTTAGCAAGACGGAAGAAAATATCACCAGTTCAGAAGGGAGGTCCTGTACAAAGCAGTCTGTTTGTTTGTTTGTTTGTTAGTTAGTCGCACTTACTTTTTACTACCGTCTTCTGGGTTGTTCCGCCCTGTGGTGTGGTAGAAGTTTGTCGACGTTTCACCCATCATCGCCCTGCCGATTGAGGCAAGAAGCACCTCCGAAACGTCTTCAATTTCTATCAGACTGCACGGCGCGATATCCCAGAAAACAGCCATCTTCAGTCCCTGAAATTAAGCCTTACTTTTTTTTCATTTGCATTAGATGGGTGAATAATCATGGCGTTTGTACAGATTAGATCAGAATTATTTAGTGGATTACTTAATTAACTGCAGAAACGCCAAACTGCAGAAGTATCAACAGAATCACGTTTTCTGCTCATAAACTGTATTCATCTGATTTCGATTAATCAAAATATTACTGTTCGATTATCGCATAAATGCAACCCTGGAGTGAAGCATCAAGCAACACAGGCTCATCACTTGAAAAATCATCATCATCATCATCATCAAACCTTAACATTTGAAGAAAAAACAGTGAAAAACGTATGTACCACATTAAAACACTTTCACACTTACTAGGTGTTTCGTATTCCCGCTGTAAACAGCGATTATTTCCTTAAACGGCGTTAACCAGTTGATCTACGTAATGGTGAAGTCCTGTGTTTTCTTCGCGGTACGGACTGAATTCTTAAATACGTAATATTTAGACGAGCTTTGACTTCAAAGGGTTAACCAGTTGATCTTCGTAATGGTGAAGAGATGTGTTTTCTTCGCGGTACGGACTGAATTCTTAAATGTTATTTAGACTAGCTTCGTGTTTCAAAGGGCCAGTGTATGCCTGAGAAGTGTGCCCTGATGTAACCAACACAATGCAACGTGACCGTGAAAGCGAGAGCCAAGCGAGCGGCTTCCTGATGCCAACGTTTCGTGACGTAATCTTTACTTTCACTCATCGTAATGTTACGCGTCGCGGACGCAACAGCTCAGGGTTACTGTCAAAACGGTAATTAAATGTTGCTAACAAACTAACTGCACTGACTCGCTGACCTGGTCAAACGAATAAATATGACGCACATGGAGGCGGAAGGTCACGTGTTCACATGAACCAAAATGAATTCAATCCACGCCTTATTGAAGATCGTTTTCAATGCTAATTTCCCGAAGTTACGTAACTTTCTCGAATGCTGGATGAGAGATTACAAATATTAGTGCTTTCCACTCGCACGGTTTACTCAACGCCCTGATGATGGAGGAGGAAAGGGGCTCTGAAACGTCTGTAAACATCTGCCAGACTACACGCTGCAAAAACCCAGAAGACAGTCATCTTGAAAATGCAAGTCAACCCATGAAATGATTTAAAGACCAAGGGCTTATCGTTTTAAAGTCCTCTGTCACTCATGATTCACAGACAATCTGCCAATGTGACAAAATTTGTGGTCAGAAAAACGTCGTTAAATAACCAAAGAATCGATTATAGATCAGTCGTAGTCAGACATTAATATTGTGTACTCTTACCGATGTCAAATCCATTCCGATAGATCATTTCAGCTACTGAGATCAGGCAGCGTCGAAGAGTACGAGTTTGGAGATTTAGTGACCGCATGAATTAAAAGGAGACTTGCCTTCTTTTTCGTAATTCTGTGACGTAAGAGGTGGCAAACTGCCTTCCATTCGAATGTGTGCAGCGCTTCGGTGTTCAGGAAGCCATCCTAAACATCGACGAAGCCAGAATGTGAACGAGACGCGTGAACTGAATTATTTATGAAGAATGTGTGACAAATGTCCACGAGCGGACAGAAAAAGAGGGTGTCGTCTGCATGGAGGCTCAGATTTTAATTTCGTAACCTTCGATCTTTTTAACGGTGAAGTGCGGTGTTTTCTCTGCGATACGGACTGAATACTAAAGTACCATTTACACGAGCTACGGCTTCTATCCCCACTTTTCATCCCACCAAAATCCTTACGCAAACTAAACTTGCCTTCACCACAAGGACGACCGGACACTGCCTGGGAATATTCGTATCCGCAAATCAAAACTTGTTCGCCTTCGTTACAAACACCTGCCT